TGCATGTTTATGTCTGTAAATAATTCCTTGCTTGGAAGCAATTTCAGATGGAAATTTGAAACGTGCAGTTACAGGGTGTGCAAACCAACAGGGCTGGGTGGGACTGGGAGGGACCTGGATGCTCCAAACTGGTGAGGCTTCACCTCGAGCCCTGTGCCCAGTCCCATCACTTCAAGAAGGATCTTGAGGTGCTGGAGCAGGTTCAGAGGAGGGACCGAGGCTGGTGAAGGGACTGGAGAGAAAGTCTTACAGGGATAGGCTGAGGGAGCTGGGGTTGTTTACCCTGGAGGAGACTCAGGGGGGACCTTCTCACTCTCTACAACCACCTGAAGGGAGGTTGTGCTCAGGTGGGGCTTGGCTCTTTTTCCAGGCAGCCAGCAACAGGACAAGAGGGCTTGGCCTCAAGCTGCTCAAGGGGAGGTTTAGGTTGGGTATTAGGAGGCACTTCCTCATGGAAAGGGTGATCAGACACTGGAATGGATTTCCCAGGGAAGTGGTGGAGGCACCATCCCTGGAGGTGTTCAGGGAAAGGCTGGAGGTGGCACTTAGTGCCATGGTCTGGCTGATGTGGTGTTAGGTCATAGGCTGGGCTTGATGAGTTTAAAGCTCATGATGGGGCTGATGTAACAGGTCCTGATGGGGCTGGTGATGCGAGGGCAGCAGGTTCCTCTTTCCAGAGCACTGAGCACGTTGGCTTTGTTTTCCTCAGAGCTGAGCCTGGCTCAGTGCAAGGCCCCGAGGACAAACAAGGCTAATTACATCCTCGACGAGTAAGTGCTGCTTTTTGGTTTAAAATGTTTTGCTTTCTCATTCGGTGTCCTTGCTTGAAGTGTTTGTGCCCCAACTTTACATCAATCAAGAGCTGAGCAAACTGCAGCAGCCAGCACCAATTAGGCACATCAGGGTCTGGCAGTGGAGCCCCAGTACCCACCCCCTGCCCCCCCCCAGGCTGCTGCTGCTGTGCAGCTCTCCCAGGCAGCATCTTGATTCTCCCTGATTATTTGTGTACACAAATTAAGAGGGAGCATCTCGCAGCCATTTGATGGGATGTGCTACATGATGTGGAACAGAACTGGAGGGATCACACAGAGCTCTTTTCCGGGGGGGGGGGGGGGGGGGGGGGGGGGTTTTTTTTTTGGGTGTCTGAGCTGGAATGAAAAGGTTCAACTGTGGAGGGGGGTGGGAATGGGAAAGCAGAGGGAAGGGAAAGAAGAGTTGCAATGAGAAGATGTTCAGGATTTTTCTGGTGTTTGGGGGATGAAAAGAGCAGCCCTTGGCTCTGCCTGTCGACAGGTGAAGTTTTCTGCAATGTCTCTGTAGAAATGCAGCACCAGAGGCCTCAGCAGCAGCCAGGAGTGTGGGGGGGGGTGTCCCTGTGTGTGTCTCTCCAGCCTCCCAGAGATGGGTTTGGGAGAGCAAGTGCTGCTGCCTGGGATGCCATCTTGGGGACAGCAGTGTCATGCCCACATGTGGCTCACTGGGGACAGGGGCTTTTCCCTGGATCCTGTGCCCTGGCACGTTACAGCAGCCTCTGGCTAAGGGAGAACCCAGCCCCTGGCAGGCCCTGATTGCCCCCAGGCCACAGTCCCTGGCATCCCCCCATCTACACGCTGATCTCCTGTGTGCTGGGGGGCTTCCAGCAGCTGCTCTGGAAGTGAAACCCCCTTCCTCCACTGTGCCCTGACCCACAGGCTGCGAGTGCCCAGGGTCACAGTTAAAGCCTCAGCCAAGCCCTGCAGGGCAGAGCTGAGCCAGGGCAGCCCCGGATGGATGTTTGGATGGATCCTGCCCTCCCCAGGCTTTCTCCTGAAACCTTGCCACAAGCAGCTCCTCTAACTGCCCTCTCCTCCTGGGAAGGGAAGCAGAAGGAAGAGCAGATCGTGCTCCCCTCGTTAGGTGTGTGCCTGCAGCAGGTGTGCAGGGACAGCTCCAGCCAGCCCGTGTGCAGGGCTTGGTCTGTCCCAGCTCCATCCATGCTGACCTGCCCAGCTCAGCTGTGCTGGGGGCTGGGAAGGAAAAGCCATTTCACCTGCTGCCACTTGTTGAAAGAAAATGAGCCGCAGGTGTTTAGTTCTTCACCTCACATGGCACAGAGGCACAGGTAGGAACCAGGCTCGAGCCCTCTGTAGGGCTTTACCTCCCCTGCATGACCCAGCTACCCTGGGACTGCCCTTAGCTGCGTTTTTCTGCTGAAGCAGAGGCTGGACACAGGCTGCAGCCCCACATCCCAGACCCCTGCTTGCCCTGCCCCACTGCTCGGGTCTCTCGGCAGCCCCCGGGCAGGGCTCACAGCAGCAGTGCCTGGCACAGATCCCTGCTCCGGGGGCTCTGGGCACGCTGCTTTCCTTGCATTTCCAGCACCCCAGCTGCCCCACGAGGGCTGGCACGGGCTGAGGCTCCTGCTGCTCCCCCTGCCCTGCATCCTGCCCACGGCCACGGGAGATCCCCTCTCCAGGGCTCCTGTCCCGCTGCATTCCCGCATGGCAAAGGTCTGGCAAACCCCAGCTCCCACGCTGTGTCCCCCCATGGCTTGGTGACCCCAGCGCCCAGTAAGCCCAGCTCAGCAGCACCAGCACCTCCAGAGCCCCGCAAACCCCCCGGAGCGGGGCGGG